AGTCCAAAAACCACCATGGATCGCACTATAACGAGAGCAGTGACGTCGCCCGGCATGGCGCAGCCGGGGCCCCACCCTGGAGCCAGGCCTGGGGTCGGGGCTCGTATGCGAGCGCCTGGTGGCCGGGCCTTAGCCCACGGGGCCCGGCCGGGCTCAGCCCGAAGGGATGACGTGGGCAGTCCCTCCTGTGGGCCCACCACCTGCAGAGGGGTCCGTGGTGGCGCGGTGCTGAGAGGACTGGGCGGCAGTCGAAGGCGGAGACCTCGGCGACCCAGTCCGCACACACAACATCTGGCTCTTGGGACGTGGAACGTCACCTCACTGGGGGGGAAGGAGCCCGAGCTCGTGGGGGAGGTTGAGCGATACCGACTAGAGATAGTCGGCCTCACCTCCACACACAGCTTGGGCTCTGGAACCCAACTCCTTGAGAGGGGTTGGACGCTCCACTTTTCTGGAGTTTCCCGCGGGGAGAGGCGGCGAGCTGGGGTGGCCATTCTCATTGCCCCCCATCTCAGCCGCCATGTGTTGGAGTTCTCCCCGGTGAATGAGAGGGTCGCGTCCCTCCGCCTCCGGGTGGGGGACAAGTCTCTCATTGTTGTGACGGCCTACGGGCCTAACAGCAGTGCAGAGTACCCGGCCTTCTTGGAGTCCTTGGGAGGGGTACTGGACGGTGCACCGCCCGGGGACTCCGTCATTCTCCTGGGGGACTTCAACGCCCATGTGGGAGGCGCCAGTGACACTTGGAGAGGGGTGATCAGAACGGCCCCCCTGATTTGAACCCGAGCGGTGTTCAGTTGTTGGACTTCTGTGCCAGTCACAGTTTGTCCATCACGAACACCATGTTCGAGCACAAGGGTGTCCACCAGTGCACGTGGCACCAGGACACCCTAGGCCGGAGGTCGATGATCGACTTTGTTGTCGTATCATCTGACCTTCGACCGCGTGTCTCGGACACTCGGGTAAAGAGAGGGGCGGAGCTGTCAACCGATCATCACCTGGTCGTGAGTTGGATCCGCTGGCAGGGGAAGAAGCCGGTCAGACCTGGCAGACCCAAGCGTATAGTGAGGGTCTGCTGGGAACGTCTCGCTGAGCCCCCTGTCAGACGGACTTTCAACTCGCACCTCCGGGAGAGTTTCTCCCAGGTCCCGGCGGAGGAGGGAGACATGGAGTCCGAGTGGACCATGTTCTCTGCCTCAATCGCCGATGCGGCGGCTCGTAGCTGTGGTCGCAAGGTCTCTGGTGCTGGTCCCGGCGGCAACCCCCGAACCCGGTGGTGGACACCGGCAGTAAGGGATGCTGTCAGGCTGAAGAAGGAGTCCTATCGAGCCATGATGGTTCGGGGGACTCCTGAGGCAGCTGTCCAGTACCGGCAGGCCAAGCGTGCCGCGGCCCGGGCTGTTGCAGAGGCAAAAACCCGGGACTGGGAGGAGTTCGGAGAGTCCATGGAGCATGACTATCGGTCGGCCTCGAAGAGATTCTGGCAAACCATCCGGCGCCTCAGGAGGGGGAAGCAGTTCTTTGCCAACACCATGTACGGTGCGGGTGGAGAGCTGCTGACCTCGACTGGGGATATTGTCGGGCGGTGGAAGGAATACTTTGAGGTTCTCCTCAATCCCCCCGTCACGTCCTCTGTTACAGAGGCAGAGGCTGAGGATGTTGGGGCGGATACATCTATCTCCCTGGCTGAGGTCACCAAGGTGGTTGGTAGCCTCCATGGTGGCAAGGCTCCGGGTGTGGATGAGATCCGCCCTGATTATCTAAAGTCTCTGGATGTTGTAGGACTGTCTTGGCTGACACGTCTCTGCAGCATCGCGTGGCGATCGGGGGCAGTGCCAATGGAGTGGCAGACCGGGGTGGTGGTCCCTCTCTACAAGAAGGGGGACCGGAGGGTGTGTTCCAATTATCGTGGGATCACACTCCTCAGCCTGCCCGGTAAGGTCTACTCCAAGGTACTGGAGAGGAGGCTACGGCCGATGGTCGAATCTCGGATCCAGGAGGGGCAGTGTGGTTTTCGTCCCGGTCCCGGAACACTGGACCAGCTCTATACTCTCCATCGGATACTCGAGGGTTCATGGGAGTTCGCCCAACCTGTCCACATGTGCTTTGTGGATTTGGAGAAGGCGTTCGACTGTGTTCCCCGGGGTGTCCTTTGGGGGGTTCTCCGGGAGTACGGGGTCGGAGGTCCTCTGCTGAGGGCCATCCGATCCCTGTATGACCGGAGCCAGAGCTGTGTTCGCATTGCCGGCAGTAAGTCAGACCTGTTCCCGGTGAATGTTGGCCTCCGACAGGACTGCCCTTTGTCACCGGTTCTGTTCACTGTATTTATGGACAGAATATCTAGGCACAGCCAGGGGTCGGAGGGGGTCCGGTTCGGAGACCACAGGATTTCATCTCTGCTGTTTGCGAACGATGTTGTCCTGTTGGCTCCAACGAACCAGGACCTGCAGCATGCACTGGGACGGTTTGCAGCCGAGTGTGAAGCGGCTGGGATGAGAATCAGCACCTCCAAATCCGAGGCCATGGTGCTCGACCGGAAAAAGGTGCCTTGCCCTCTTCAGGTGGGTGGAGAGGTCCTTCCTCAAGTGGAGGATTTCAAGTATCTCGGGGTCTTGTTCACGAGTGAGGGAAGAATGGAGCGTGAGATTGACAGGCGGATCGGTGCAGCGTGCGCAGTGATGCGGTCGCTGTATTGGACCGTTGTGGTAAAGAGGGAGCTGAGCCGAAAGGCAAAGCTCTCGATTTACAGGTCAATCTTCGTTCCCTGCCTCACCTATGGTCATGAGCTTTGGGTAATGACCGAAAGAACGAGATCGCGGATACAAGCGGTGGAAATGAGCTCCCTCCGCAGAGTGACTGGGCGCTCCCTTAGAGATAGGGTGAGGAGCTCAGTCACACGGGAGGAGCTCGGAGTAGAGCCGCTGCTTCTCCACGTCGAGAGGAACCAGTTGAGGTGGCTCGGGCATCTGTTCCGGATGCCTCCTGGACGCCTCCCTGGGGAGGTGTTCCGGGCACGTCCCACCGGGAGGAGGCCCAGCGGAAGACCTAGGACACGTTGGAGGGACTATGTCTCTCAGCTGGCCTGGGAACGCCTTGGGGTCCCCCCGGACGAGCTGGAGGAAGTGTGTGTGGATAGGGAAGTCTGGGCGTCTCTGCTTAGACTGCTGCCCCCGCGACCCGGCAACGGATAAAGCGGAAGAAAATGGATGGAAGCCAGAGGTCCACAAAGGAGTCATTACAAAGCTCCTCGCCTTGTTGTTAGCTGTTGTGTGACTTTAGGCTTAAATCAATTTGGAATAAAGACAACATTATTGGTCTTTGGAGGAGCAGCAGTTATTGTCATATTTATTCACACTTCAGGGTGATGTTTACTGCTCACACTAAAGTTTGTCCGGCTAAAGTCTTTTATGATCATTTCATTAGCCCGATGAAACCGCCTGCATCATTTCTGCTGAGCTCAGAGAAATTTGAGGAGCAATCTTTAAAATAGGCTGCAATGCACATAAACACAAGTGAAGGGTCAAAACAAAAAGGAAGTCACCTGAGCATGTTTTTATGGCCCCATCAACTGGTTTGGTTGAGTGAATTTCGAGTCTACTGATGTAATGCAAAAGTATAACCTAAGGCTATAATCTTGCATATTTACATTTGTGAAAATGTTCTTTAATATGTATTGTTCCCCCTTTCTCAAATAAATAAATAAATAATAATAAATAAGTATAACCTTTGCCCCTTTGGTATTGACCGTCTTCAATGTATATTTGAGAAGGAACAAATTATCAAACTAATAGTATAGAGATCAAATGTATCAATTTTCTATCTATGATTCTGCCATCTAAATATGAGAATCCATTATTTAGTTCATATGAAATCTTAATATTGAGCTAAAACAATGTAATGAATCCTTCACATGTCACAAATACAGAAAAAAATTTCTGAGTGGAGTTTGCATGTTCTCCCCGTGTCTGCGTAGGTTTCCTCGGGGTACTCCGGTTTCCCCTACGACTAAAAATATGTACAATAGGTCTGGCATGCGCCTCCTGTACTGGCGACCCCGCTCCCATCTCTGTGTGGAGTGAGAGACAAGTGCCCAAAAAATTAACAATTGTAAACCGCTTTGAGACTCAGATCTGCAGTGAAAAGGCGGTATATAAATAAAGATTACTAAAGATTACTAATTACTTACAGGGGGTGGCTGCAGCAGCTCTGACAAGTACTGTCGAGCCACAGATGGCAGGCATTTAAAAGAGATCAATAACATTTTACATTTGTAATGATCAGCAACTCGGGGGCAGTACAAAAAGCACAACATGGGTTTAGTTGTTCCTGTGAGTAGACGGCACATCCATCACATCCTGCAGTGAGCATGAGCTAACGTGTCTTTACAACAACAATTTAGGACTAATTTGTTTATCAGACTTAAAGCCTAGTAAGTAAAAACATGTTTTTGCATAAGGGGCTACAACTCTCACTAAGTTTTATTTTAATTGAGGCAGTTTGTGCTCATCCAGTTTGGCTCTTAACCGTGACCTTGAAACTATTTACAAAGTTTGTGTTGAATAAGAAATATGAGGAAACATGTTAAGTGGGACAGAAGGAAGCTCATAATGAAATATCAATCAATATGTACTGGAACTAAAACCACACCAATAAATAACGGGCAATACTTTTGTTTAAAAAGGTAGAAAACGACTCTGAACAAGAATCTTGTTAAATGCTAAAAGGAGATTTTGCATAATGACAATATGACTAATTTAGGGAATCCCTTCAAAAGGTGATGTCAGAAAATTCATCATGCTATCATGAAGTATTTTTTCCCCTCATCCTGGCAAAATCACAACCAGTACTGTTAGCTATTGTTGAAAGGTTCGACCAATGGCATAGATTTCAATTAATGTTGTCAAATCATGAAGCTGTGAGGGTGAACATGGGCATGGTGTAACTGGCGCATTTGTCTGAAAGGTTTCGATCTCTCTTCACAATTTGAAAAGTATCTGATTTAATTATACTAAATACGGTAGTTTGCGTGACTTTACCAGAGCAGTGACAGTAGGGAAGTTCTTGGCCATTTCCCTCAGAAGTGTCCCAGTGCGAACGTCCCAAAGTTCCAGAGGTTTGTCCCGAAACACCACCACCAGGTATTGTCTAAAGATGGGAAAACAAATCATTAACGTCATGTGAGTGTGGAATAGAAAATTTATATTGTTTCCCTTTTTAATATAAATATGAAAAGATAAACAAATATCAAACCAAATATGAAAGATACAACAACATCAAAAGTATGATCAAAAACATGATAAAGATGTATCTACAGTATATGTGTATGTAAGCACAGCTGGTTGGATGTTAATAAATATCTCTCATCTGCAATGAGTATAAGACGAGAACAGAGTTTAAACTGCAAAAAACAAATGTTTCTTAGAGGTATGCGTTTTTTGAAACAGTCTTGCAACTTCTGTCATTGTTGGGGTTCAGCCATCTATTGCAACCACCATGTGTGAGATTTCAATTTCTTATAATTAAACAATGAAAAAGAGCTATGTAAATCTGGTGTGTGTGTGTGCCTGGCTGAGTGCTGCCGTATCGGGAGCGTCCGCCTTTTACAGCACGGACCTGTGGCCAGATTGTATGATGCAAACCGTTCTGAGGTAAAAATTGGCAGGAAATCCAATCTTAACAAGCTCCTTGGCTTAAAGTACAGCACGATTCAAAGAAGCAATCTCCAACCTCCAGAAGCACCTCGGGGAAGCAAGCTATACAAGATGGGGTTAGTGTTCACAAGCATTTAACATGTTTACACGTTCAGGAGGATTGCAAAAAACAATTGATACTAGTGTGAAATTTGATAAAGAACTGGAAAAACACAGGACAACAATATATTGAGGATAAAGGCTTTAAGTATACTCTATCTGATCAATACCACTGTCATGCACATACGTAGGATACACATATTGAATACATAGGAGACTTGGGGATGACCCAGAATCCTATGTCTCTCAGCTGGCTTGGGAATGTCTCAGGATTCCCCCAGATGAGCTGGAGGAAATGTGTGGATGGGGAAGTCTGGGTGTACCAGTCATATCTGTTCTGTTACATATCTCTCTTGCTGCATCTTCAAATGGCGTACATTGTCGCCTTAAAACTCCTGTAACTCTATAATCATCCTTTTGATCTTTGACACAAGTTTGATCTGAGCTACTAAAGCTTGATTAGAGCTAATAAAAAGCTAGTATCAACAGTTACGGGAATCAAATACCTATAACTGTTTTGTTAACCTTTTAGGTGCCAAAGTAGCAAAATTGCTTCATGAGCTCCGAACTTCCCACCAACCGTTCCCAAAATTTTTCTTAAAAATTGTACATTTCTGTCATCGATTGTAGAAGTCCTATATTTCCTATAAAAATATGGGTTTTACGTTGAAGAAATAGTCTTGAACTCAGACCTATTGCGAGACACCAAGATGATGCTGAAGTGGAGGAATGATCATTTGTGCGTAAAAATAAACAAAACATAGTATTGTGACATTACTCAAGTCATCGTGGGATTAATGGGCATTCTGGAACGGCCACATGTCACAAATTGTGTTTGTGCGTGTGTTTGCTTCAATAGAAAAAATGGATGGACATAAATAATATATTATACAATCTGACAATGCACAGCAGGAAAATCAATTGCAGCATGAGGACATGACGATGCCTGCTTGTCAGATATTTAGACAGGATTTCATTAAAATCAAAACAAAAGTGTTGAGCTTGTTAATGGAAGAAATAAACCTCCGCTGGTGAACAGAGGGAGGTATTTATTTACCATTTCATGTATACTGAATATATATAATTATGTATGGATACGACAGGGATTACAGGTCATTCGCCTGATAAAAGTGGCAAGCTTGTTTTTTCTTGGCATGGCGCAATTTTGATCATGTGGTTGTGAGTCTCTAGCGAAGCATGAATCGTAGACATTTTGTCCATGAAATCAGGACAGAGCAGATATTTCGTTTGGGTTGGTTATGGAGACATGAATCTGATGAAGCAGCATATTGTTTTGTTATTGAAGAAGCCTGAACATCAATACTGCTGTTTTTGTGTGTGTATCTAACTTACTTGAGATGAGACACTTTAATCATCTCGATGGGGGGCTCGTCGTTGCCCCTTTCCCCCCGGAAAGAAAAGCACCTGCCTGCAAACACAGACGCAGAGGGAGAGGAATGAGTGAAGTGAGAGTGAAAAAGAAGGGAGACAGAAGAAATGTATCATCACACTCTCACACCTGTTCAAAAAGATCTATCTGACTTTTGCCTGACACCTGCTGCTGTTTCATCTGTCTGGAGAAAGGCAGAGACAATATACAGCGTACTTCAGCTTCTTCCATATCAGAGATAAAAGATAGAACAACAAGGTCAAAGTAAGGTAACTACTGTGTGGTAATCTCATACGGCACTTTTTCCATTTTCTTAATTCATTTCATACCATTACAACACCTCAGCCTCCAGTCGATGAGGACTAAAGAAAATTAAACAAAACAAAACTTTGTCTCTATTTTGTCCCTATGAAAAAGTTATTAGTATGGCATTTCTCAATATATTTTAATACATAAGGTCCTATTACTTATCATAACATTCTATATAACAAGGAGTAAATAATTCTGAGGGCCATCTAAACCATAACCAATAGCACATTTCTCAATAGAAAGTTTTGTAAAATTTAACTTATCTATTTTTTGAAGACAATAACTTGTTGTCGTTTGATTGTTTGCTTACAACATTATTTTTACAAACAAATGCATGTTTGTGTAATCAATTGTTGTAGCTGGAAGATAATAGAACAGTTAAAATGTGTTATAACAGTGTTCTTCTTTTTAAGTTTAATTCAAGATTTTATTTTATTCAGTTATCAATCAGTATTTTCTTTGACAGAACAGAATCAGACAGAATAGAGTAGCAATGGTATAGTTCTCTGCACTGTGACACTTGGATCTGAAATGGCTTAGACAGATTGTACCACTCTGGCTCCACTCCAGGAGAAAAACCATGACTGCAATTTTGAGATTGGACTGCAATTAGCTACCATAGCAACCAATCACACAATCACAGAAAGCATGGGCTTTAATTGTTACATTAAATTCACTGCTCTGGGAAAAACAGAAGACAATTAGGAGATGGCAATCAAAAAGATGGGTTCTATTTTTAGGAGGATGTTCTCAAAAGTGGAAACCGAAAAATCCAGCACATGGCTCAGACAAAGCAGAGTTTTCACAAAACATAGTAGTAGTCGTGAACGATGCGTGAACGACAAAGTAGTAATATAAAATTATACAAGTTATGCATAATTTCTGATCTTGACCATATTTTTTTTGCATGAAATGTTTCAAATAAAAAATAAACTATTTTTTTTAAAACAGAACTTCTGTAATTGCATTTGCACCGCTACCTATGGGCAGCAGTAGAATTAATGATGGGTGAGACAAAAACAATTCAAGGTGTTGTCATCAACTTAAATTGTACTTAATTTGTTTTAAAGAATGGATATTTTTGACCTCCTGGCCATGTAAATCGAGGCATCAAAAATGATACATTTATTCAATAGTCGCTCCCATTAGCATAAACACCAGTAAGATTTACGGGATGAGACTACAGTTAAACCAGTGGGGAGGGAGATCGCCTGTCAATCAAGGATTTTTTCTAAATTTTGTCCATTCAGGTCGCTGAGGGGCCTACAGGACCGACGCAGGCTTTTGAAAATCTTTTCTTACTTAAGACTTTGAAAAGACATCAAGACAGCATGCAATAATTTGTTCCTTTTCTCAGTACCACAGTTTCCAAACAAAATATCTGCCAATAACTTTCAGAATTATCTTTCTAACAGACAAACTAACAAACTCTGGAAAAGCATAAACCCTTGGCTGAGGAAAGAACTTGTGTCGTTCTAAAATAGAAGGGCACCTCATGTTGATTTATGATTTAAAATGAGTTATACTTCTTAACCTTCAGTCAATGACCCAAGGTCTTCCCATGCCTCCCTTATAATAGAGCTATATATCTCATGTTAGGGTGTTGCATTTAAACTAAGCAACAGTGTCCTTCAGGTGTAGCACATAACACGTTCTGATATGATTTTGGGAGTGTGGCCTGTTTAAAAATGTACAAGTGATAGAAGTGAATCAGCCAGCAACAAAGTTATGACGCCTTAAAATTGTGTTTCCCGTCCAACTGGCTGTTTGATTCTGTCCTTTTCCCTATTTTTCAAATCTTTAATCGTGAAGACCATTTAAAAAAAAACGTTAACGTCTGCAGATGCATTGTTTGACATTATTTACGTAGGTAATGCTAAAATACTTGTTGCCCATTGACAACATACTGAAATTGTGCCAAAAATTCAAATCTGTTTATTTTGATAGAAATGTAGTCCGTATGAGTGTGTTTGAAAGTCCTCACAAAGGTCATGAAGTGTGAAAGCAGCTTTATTTCTGCAAGTGGAAACTCATCCCAAATCCATTGTACAATCTCTGCTCTACACGAATTAAATTGTTATTGATGTTTTGTTCAGACATCTTGCAGGAGACGAAAAGATCAGATTTCCCAAAAGTTACGAGAGCAAAACAAAAAGTAACAAAAAAGTGTATAAATAATTGAACAGAAAGGATTAGGCAGCAATGTACAAAAGCCCAACAACACAATTGCGATTAAGAGCTGGCTTCCCCAAAGAAAATATGCAAGACTTTAGTCACGGAAATAATACTTTGTACCCATTTGGTCAAAGTATGTTTTCTATATTAAAAACAAAGCTTTCAATAAATCCTCAACACTATAAAGAGCTGCGGTGACCCATTTCAAAACAAATAAAAGTCGGAAAGCAAAGAATACGGAATATGCTAAAGTCATTATGATCAACTAACAATTGAAAAAGTAGATGGTTACTCGCATACTCTTAGAGAAGTTGACAGATGCGCAGTCATTTCTAAATCTTCAAAAAGCACCTGTCTGGGCAATTCTTACAACGTCTTGCTTGCTTTGTTGTTTTGGTTTGGAGTGTAAGTACGTACAGTACACCCTCCAGCAAAAACACACTTTCAGGAAGATAGAGTAATGGTTCTAGTGAAAGTGCTGTTCTGGGAGCTCATCTGCTGCTGTGTGCCTGGTCTCTGAGGTGAAGTCTAAAGTGTGCACGCAGCGGCCTCACCTGTGGGCAGGTCCACATGCTGCAGCTCATTTCGCACCAGTCCCATGTTGTTCGGGGAAGAGGTCGCAAAGGACAAGAAGCTGGTCAGGCTCACCCACTCGATACCCCTGTACACACACACACACAAAAGGAAGGGCTGGTCAGACAGGATGGAACTCAAATCAATACTGCAATGTGGATGAAAGAAAAGGGTTCTGACAGACGAGGACAAATTCAGTGGATATTCATCTGTACCAAGAAATCAGGTAATAATAACCGTTTTAGAAATTGAGCTGTGTGAATTAACAACAATTTATGGTTATGGGCATAATAACTATGTAATCATGTTCATTTGTTTCTTACTTTTGCAGAACTGGAGTAATATTTATTCACTTTAATCTAAATAAAGAAGACATTAAAGGCACCAAAGTAGCAGAAATACTATGAGCACTTAAAGAATATTATTTTCCTCTTTATCAGTTTCAGATCTGCACTTTTTGTCTGTTTTACATGCAATTTAGGGAAAAAACTACAGAAACTAAAGGGTTAATAATATTACTCTTTAGTTGCCAATGTCAATACTATTTACATGCCATTGTGATGCAAATGACAAACAGTTATTATTTTTCGGAGGAATCCTTTGGTCAACCACAAACCATATTAAATCCTCATCACATTCTCATTCATAACCTCAAGCCGAATTTCGTTAAAATGGGCAAAAAAGTGATTAGTGCATGATTATTAGGCTGATTTATCCGTTAAATGTAAATGAGATGCTAAATACCTAGCATCCTCTGGCATCGGTTGTTCAGGGTTCAGGGATATAAGTAAATTTCCATAAAACACATTTCAGAATTATTGTGCTTTCAAGATTTTTCAACGTCTGCAAAATGTGGAAATGTGGACAATAGAAAAAGGGACATGACCGACGTTTGTGTAATGAATTCCTTTTTATTGCAAATATAGAACAACAGCCCAATCACCATTGTCACAATTTAACGACTGCATCCATTCCAAAAACTACTTGTTTTGCCTACTTTCTTTCATTACAACTAATTTTGTGGACTTCCCTCATTACAGTGAATTAGATTCTGCTTCGATGGATGGTGTTTACCCTGATCCATTCTCTATCACTTCTAATTACTTCACTTGATGCTTAATTAATCCAAGTATATTGCTAATGTTATTGTGCTCGTGTTTATGCCTAGTTGTTTTTTTTGTGGAGGAAGCTTGAGGGCTGCTGTTTTGGCATTTTGATTTTGGTTTCTTTCAGTGAGGCCCATTGATGTTAATTAGACAATAGATTACAAGGAGTAACTGCGGGAGGTGGAAGAACACTTTCTGACTTCTTGGCCTAATTAGAATAAACCATTTTTATGTTATTATTCTACAATATACACAGACATGTCTGGATAGTCACAGAATACAACATATTGGGCTGTTTTGTATATTAACATGGATAGTAATAAATTAATGGTTTGTTGAATTAAACAGTACTTACATAATAATCTTGGTCAAAACAAACACAGTAACATTGATATCCATGCACTTTTTATGGTACACAAAACAATAAGGTTATTTTCTAGTGCAGGTTGTAGAAGTAGCAAATATGCTCATGTTGACTTACTGTGAATGTACTCCAGTGCAAATAGAAACAAATGAAATAACAGCAACTATCATTAATCAATTGGTGTAATTTCAATTTCTGAAATGAGAAGGAATTTTGCCGTGTTACCAATTGCGTTAGTGATGTATGTCATAGCAAAACTTGTACATAAATGTCATAGCGGTTTATTGATTGAGAAAGTGTTTACATGAGGTTAGACATTTCATGCACAGTGAAACTGGAGAGGACAACACTGGAGCGCAGCAGATTCAGAGGAAGACTTAAGTGAATATTTATGATCAAGTGAAAAATGACGGAGCAGGTGTGATGAAAGAGCAGGCCAATGCAAGAATATTTCTCAGATTTCAAATACAAAAATTTAACAAATACCAAGAAACAACAACATACACCTAATAAAATGAGGCAAAATATATACTTAAAAAAATAAAGAAGTAAACCACTTGACTTCTCACGGAAGACATTTGAGTGTTACCGTACACATAGTAGAACAATGCATGTGAATAGAAGCAGCTCCCAAAACTAGTTTTATAGAATAACAACTCAAATGTGAAACTTAATAATCCTTGCTTATGTAAGCAACTATAATTGTGGATATAAAAGGGATCAAAAGTGAGAAGCAAGTGATTGCTTTATTTTTTTCCAAGAATAATGCAATAATAATAAAACTCACAGTGGGGGTATGACTCTACAAGCTTTGCACAATAATGAAAATGGTGCCCTTACATCTTTACAAGATTAGAAGAAGATTGAATGGAGAGCGCCCCTAATGTATGACCATATTAGTCCGGTCCTCAGGTCTCTGCACTGGCTTCCTGTGGCTCAAAGAATAGATTTTAAAACGGCTCTGCTTGTGTACAAGTCTCTCCATGGCCTTGCACCAGAATACATTAGTGACATGTTGGTGTCATATGAACCAGCCCGGACTCTGAGGAGCACAGGGACTGGCCTCCTGCTGGTGCCCAGAGTGAGAACCAAACATGGGGAGGCTGCGTTTCAGATCCATGCAGCTAAGATCTGGAACAATCTCCCTGAAAATGTGAGGGAGGCGTCTACTCTGTCAATGTTCAAATCCAGGTTAAAGACTGTTCTGTTTGCCTGTGCATACAACTGAAGGATTTTATCTCCATTTTTAATGCACTGCTGTCATTTATTTTTTTTTTTAAATTTCTTGTGTAATTTTGAAAGTTTTAATGGTTTTATTCTTTTGTGTGATTTTAATGTTTTAATTGTGTTTTAATCTTTTGTGTGATTTTAATGTTTTAATTGTGATTCTGGTGTTTGTTTTATGTGATGATTTGTGATGTGGACTGTGAAGCGCTTTGTGTTGCCCTGTGCATGAAAGGCGCTCTACAAATAAACTTTGATTGATTGATTGATAATGCTTGAGGAAAGGCCAGGTGGAAGCCTCACTTTTCAGTTTTATGTATTATTTAGCTGTTTTTAGCTGTTACTTTGTTATGGTCTGTCAAAAAATGATTTCATGTATTTATCTACATGGTTAAAAGCATACCTGATCTCAACACTCCTCATCTCTTGTGCTCTCTTGTACAGGAATGAGGTGACACAGGGCTGGCACTGCTCTTTCACTGAAGATTCTCATCAGGATTCAGTCCTGACTTCATGGTTGAACAGGACTTTAGACCGAGATGTTGAGGATCGAGCTCCCACCAGAAGCCACGTCAATGCTGTCCACTCCCCATTACAAGGACAAAGGGAAATCCCTCCCACTTCTGCTCTCAAGATCAATGGACACAACCCATTTTTCTGTAAGGCTAAGCACTCAGACATTATGAGAATTTATTTTTGTTCAATAACAGGCACCAACTCTATCCAACCAACAACTGTAATCATCCGAATGCCAATTTCCTGTGCAGACACTAATGAGGCTGAAAACAATCAACAGTGATCAATGGCTTCTCTGAATGCGGATGCTGAGGTTCATTCGACCTGTCATTTCACTGTGAGGGAGTTCTTATGAAGTGGAGCCAGCCTGTTTACACAGCAAGACAACTACAGGGCTTTGCTGCCGAGTTTGCCGGAAATTAAAAATGAAAGATTACCTTAATTCACATTTTGCTTTTGAAATAGTAATGAAAAACTAAAAATAAGCAGTTTTTCACACGCGTAAAACCCTGCGGCAAAAGTGGCTAATGAATAGGTTTTTACTGACTAACAGCCTCTAACTGCAGTGCATGTGCCTGTGCCTGGATGCACCTAAAAACCTAAAATTCATTCTTCATTAAATCTTCCATTTTAAATGCAAGTTTTATGGCTATTTTCCAATACAACCATGTTTTAAAAAGTTTACTTGCCTGGCTCAGAGAATAGACTTTAAAGCAGCACTGCTTGTGATTATGCATGTTAATTTTAATGCCCTATATTGTTTTGTTAAGAACTTTGAGCTTTCTTGTGTATGAACTATTTACAACCATTTAAGCTTTAAAAGGCTTCCGAAGGTTTTTGTTCCACAGAGTCACAAAGATTGTACACAAATATAATTATCTTCCAACTGTGATTGAATTGAAATTGAATTGAACTTGAAACTGGCCATTTTTATTTTGATTAATGTTCATAATTAGCATTTTACTTCACCACCTTTGGGTTATATTTAAAGGTCCAGTAGGAAAATGTATTCTCTGCATTTGACATCAACGGCAATATCTTAGAGGGGTAAAGCGGTCAGCAGTACCAAGCTTAAGGATTACGGGTCTCTTAAGCAGTTTTCGTCTAGCTCTGAGACCACCAAGCAGCATTAATGTTAAATGATACTACGTTACTTTTGGGTCAAAATGCAAACTTTTCGATGTCTCTTGTGCATTGAGACTGTTCAGGGGTTTGCAATTAGTAAATCAAGGACTATAATGACTCAAATTATTGAAATGCAGTGACAAATGTACAGAAGACCCAAGAGACGCAAGCTTCTCAGACCTTACAAACAGAAAGAACAAAAACTACTTTAAAAAATGCATATGAAAGGACCTGCATATCAAATACAAAATGTGTAAAGAGAGCTCCTGTTAAACTAAATATTTACCAGCAGCTTTAATTCTACAGCACATTTCACAGACAAAGGTCACACAAAGCTCTTTAAAATGTTAACGCATCTAAATCATTGCTTCATTTTAACTTTTATCGACTACAAATTTTCAATTTCGATTTGTTTGCGAACAATCTTGCCCAAGCCACGTTAGCTGCCATGTGATGCAGAGGTGTCCATTGTGACACTCGCTTGGCTTCGTGTGAGAATGAGAGGCCAGGGGTCAGACTTAAGACCTTACAGTGATCCATCATGAGCCCTGTATTAATAACTTGAGTGGATCCTCTTTAATCCAATTACAGAGAACACGGGAGACTACGGCCCTGCCACACTACGCCTCTTATATCATGCCTCAAGAGCCATGGCAAAAAAAATAGATAGAGGGAAAAGTCTATTATTGCCATTTGAACATGCAAAATTAGGCAGATTAGTCATGGAGCCGATGGGAGGTTTGAGGAGAAAGATGTCACTAGGGGGCAGCACTGTATCCAAAAAATCCAGCTGCAGGAATGGATCTGATCAAAGTAAAAACTCGTTGTACTTAAGGATTATTTTGATAAGTGATTAGTTCTTTAGATGACTTGATAAAAACATAAATCAATTAATTAAAACACATCTTGATTTCATTCTGCAGTCATTTTAGAATGATATAAGAGCCATAAATCTTCTTATGAGGATGTTTAAGTCTCTGGACAGTTAAAAAAAACGATGAATCAATTACTATCTCGCTCCCATCTCTGTGTGGAGTGAGAGGACAAGTGCCCAAAAAATAACAATTGTAAACCGCTTTGTGACTCTGGTCTGTGAAAGGCGGTATATAAATAAAGCTTACTTACTTATATACTTACTGAATTATTTGCCGACTATTTCAAAACAGCCTTACAGTCAAAACAACCGACAAGACCAAGTACAGTATGTGTGAAGTGTATGATGTGTAGTTACATCGGCCTCTTTCTCTTATCAAACAATTCAAAAATGTTAAAAAATTGTGAAAAAACGTCCCTAAAACATTTACATTGCGGTTCCCTAAAATCTAGTTCCTATAATTTAGATTCAGATTAAAACTACTTCATGTATTCCACCTGAGGCAATTCATTTGAGCAGCATAGGGCGATAACAGAAACGATATGAAGTGGA